TCCCCATCCCAGCTTCTCCCCCTCCCCCCACTGCACCCATCCCGGGATTTCAGCCCCCCTAAGGCCTCCGCCCCCTCCTGGATCCTCTTCTCCCAGCGCCCACCCTTTCAGACTGTCCTTTCCTCTAGAACCTCCTTGCCAGAGCCCCTTCCCTCATACACCTACGACCCCCACCCTCCAGCACCCATCGCTCCGAGTCACCCACTACCTCGAGACCACCTTTCTGGACTCGCACGCCGGCTAGTGTCTACCCTGCACCTCTTCTTCGCGTGCCCCCCTCCCTCCCGGACAGGCCCCCTTCCTTCTCTTGTGGCTGTTACTCCTGCCTCTCGCCACCTGCTCCCCCCACCCATCTCTCGGTGCTGCCCCTGACAGCGCCGCGCTCTCTCAGCAGCCCCCCTGCATCTCAGGGCCCCTCTCCGCCGCCCCCAGCGCCATGGCGTGCAGCCTCAAGGACGAGCTGCTCTGCTCCATCTGTCTGAGCATCTACCAGGACCCGGTGAGCCTGGGCTGCGAGCACTACTTCTGCCGCCGCTGCATCACCGAGCACTGGGTGAGGCAGGAGGCGCAGGGCGCCCGCGACTGCCCCGAGTGCCGGCGCACGTTCGCCGAGCCCGCGCTCGCGCCCAGCCTCAAGCTGGCCAACATCGTGGAGCGCTACAGCGCCTTCCCGCTGGACGCCATCCTCAACGCGCGCCGCGCCGCGCGACCCTGCCAGGCGCACGACAAGGTCAAGCTCTTCTGCCTCACGGACCGCGCGCTGCTCTGCTTCTTCTGCGACGAGCCCGCGCTGCACGAGCAGCACCAGGTCACCGGCATCGATGATGCCTTCGAGGAGTTGCAGGTGAGCAGCCCGGCCGGCCGGGGGCGGGGGCGGGGGCGGGGCCAGGGCCGGGCCGGGGGCGGGGTTAGGGCTGGGCCAAGTCGGAATTGTCACGGGGCGGGGCCGCCGGCAGGGTCAGGGCCCTATCAGAATTAGGACGGGACGGGAACGGGGCGGGGCCGCGGCGAGAGGGCGGACTGTTGGAGGCGGGGCCTAGGGCCCTCTGCACCCGGAGGGATCTGAGACAGACTCTAGGTGGGGGTGGGTCCGTGGTTGGGGAGAGGTCACCCACAGGGTGTTACGGCTGGGACAAATGAGATCAGAGCTGGCCCACGTACGGGCTCAGGGCAAGGTTGGGGACGGGGAAGGATCAGAGCTGGGCAAGAGCAGGGCCACTGTCAGGGCCCATGCGGCCTGGACCTGGAAGCAGGGACCACAAATGAATGCTTCGGGACAAACAGATGGGAATGGGCTAGACAGGGGGCGGGACTGCCATCCGGGAATGGGTCAGGACTATTTGGAGTAGCTGAGGGACCGACTTGGGGCACAATGGGGCAAGACTCAATCAGGTGTGCACCAAGACCTTAGGGGACAGTACCAGGACTAAATTGTGCTGGGCAAGTCAGAGTTAAATCTGAGAGAGAGCCTAAGTTATGGTCATCCCCAAACTTCTGAGAGGATGAGTTTGGGTTCCAAGAGGATGAGTTTGGCTAGGCCAAGGTGTCTGAGGGGTTAAAGATGGGATCAAGTCCAGATACTGTAAGAACTATTTTGGGTTTAAACCAGGGGCCAGGTTGACAGTGGGAACAGGACTTAAGACTCAAGATTTGGAAAATAAGACCCTAAGGTGAGGTGATTCAAGAAAAGGGAGGGGGATGGACCTCTAGGAGTCTCCAAGAGCTTTTGATGACCTCCTTGGCCTCATCAAGACCTTTGAAGACTAAATGAAACAGTATATGCAGGGGTAACCTGAGTTCAGTCAGCCTAAGACTATAACTGATCTCTCTCAAACCTTCCCATCGAAACAGACCAACTCCTATTCAACTCTCAAAGCCCTGCTCAAATGTCCTTTCTGTGTAAGCCTTCCCAAGCTCCCCCAGCCAAAAGAGGGGAAAAAAATTGCATTAGAGCTACATTTCTGTAAATATCTTCTGTTAATAAGTATGATGTTTTAAAAAGTAGTGTTCTGGGGCGCCTGGGTGGCGCAGTCGGTTAAGCGTCCGACTTCAGCCAGGTCACGATCTCACGGTCCGTGAGTTCGAGCCCCGCGTCAGGCTCTGGGCTGATGGCTCGGAGCCTGGAGCCTGTTTCCGATTCTGTGTCTCCCTCTCTCTCTGCCCCTCCCCCGTTCATGCTCTGTCTCTGTCTGTCCCATAAATAAATAAAAACGTTGAAAAAAAAAATTTAAAAAAAAAAAAAAAAAAAAAAAAGTAGTGTTCCAAGATCAGCTATACTGGGAAAATATAGTATATTATCTCTACCTCCCTTGAAGGATTCTTCATGTACACTTTGCATATTAAAGGTTTTGGAGAAATCTTGTAGCAAACATACCCATTTTACTGTGTTTAATAAAATGGCACCCAAGCTTATTTCAGCCTGGAAGCCTAGAATCTTCTCAACCTAAACTGTTTCAATCCTGCAGTCCCGTTTCTTTGGCCTTGACCAGTCTAGCACACAGTTCCCAAAGAGCAGGGGAAGTCTCTTATTCATCATATCTATGGCCCCAAAGCCTGGCACATCAATACATATCAGTAAAGTTTGAATAATAAATGACTAATTCTGGCCTGAGCTGGCCCAGACTGTGGAGCTTTTAGAAGCAGAAGATTTTTCACTCAAACATTTTTTGAATATGCAGTGGGATAACTTGGCGGAGACTGAGCTCCCTGACCCTTGAGATGCTTAAGCAGGAATTAAATAACTACTTTCCCCTATGTTGTAGGAAGCCCCCTCCCCCTATGCTTGTACATAAGTCTCTGTAAGTCAACCTGCACTTAGTAGATACCCATGGATGACCCTTGGCCTAGGAGAAATGGTCCCATGTTTACCACCCTCCCCGCCCTGTTCCTTTCATCCCCAAACCATTACTGACTCCCTCCCAGTCTGGCTCTGTGAGGATGGAGAGCAAGAGTTGGGGGCTCTGGGAGCTTGCACAGGCTGGCATGGGCCCTCCACCTCCAGAGTCTTTTGTGCCAGGCCCTTGTAGCCCCACCTCTCCATCTGCGAGGTCCCATAAACGGAGGAGAGAACCTTTGACATAGCTTGGTGCAGGTTGTGGGGTTTGAAGGGAGTCTGTTTGAAACTATCTGTCCAACCTCATCCTTATAATAGATATGGAGACTGAGGTCCGGAGAGGTTAATGTAACTTCCCCAAAGCTACACTATCAGGCAATGAGAGCCAGACTAGAAAGCTCAGCCTGCCCCAGGCCAGATTCCTCCTCCATCACTCAGCCTCTCCTCTCTCTGACTTTCTCACTGGAGAGCCCTCTGCCTTCTGAGCCTGGGTTCCTCTGTTTGCAAACCAAGAAGTCAGAACTATTGTGTTTTGGTTTTTTGCAGTCTATTCCATGTCCTGGGGAATGCAGGAGAAATTAAATATATCTTTTCTGCAAATGTTAGTGAAACACTTTTACTCCTGGGTGAAAAGAACAGGAGGGCCACTCACCTACCTTCTAGTATGTACTGTCCTGCGGTCAGATAGTCTTGGGTTCCAAACCTTCCTTCAGCACTGCCAGTGTGTGACTCGACAAGTCCCTTCATGTAAGCCTTGATGCTCTGGCCGGTACAATGGGGTCACAGTGATTCTTTCCTACCAGGATTTTAGGAGGCTGACCTGAGGTAGGCCTGCTGTTTGCAATGCTTGGCACAGGGCAGGGGCTGGGTCAGCATGCATTCCCATCCCTTCTCCTTCTACCTGAGAGAACTCATGTACCCAGCTGGGCAAATGTCCAGACCTGCCTTCCTTGCGAGAGAAGGAGGCCTTGCTTTGGTGCCTCCTTTGGGCTTGGCAAGAAGGTGGCAGAGAAACATCCCTGCCCACTGGAGAGGTTAGCTCCTGGGGGAGGTTTGGGCCACTCCCCACCCCACCTGCCTCTCTCTCCTTGTGGGGAAGTGGGGCTCATTCGTTATTTGTCTGCTGGGAATGAAGCTGAGCCTACCCGGCACACCCTCTCCTCTCCCATCTGCTGGTGGTTCTGTCCCACGGTTTCTAGAACCAGGGCTTGGGCCCCTCTCCTGGAAACTAACTGACTCAGAGCTGCCAGGGCCTTGGAGATCTTTTGGTGCAGCCCTCACTTGACAGATGGAGAAACGGCTGGCCGAGGAGGAGGGAGGGGACTTTGCCCAAGGCCAGAGGCCAGAGGAGGCTGTGCCTGGGCTCAGCTGGACTCTCCTCACATCCCACCTAGCGGTTGGCCTGGAGCTTTTACGTTTATTATAAATCCTGGAGGTAGCAGAGCAGAAAGGTTAAGAACTCTGGCTTTGTACTTGGGCAGCTTCAATCCTGGTGCTACCATTTTCTGGCAGTGGGAACTCAGAAAAGTTATTTACCATCCCTCATTGACAGCAGTGGGGATGGATTAAATAAGATGACATTTGCAAGAACTTAGTACTGCATTCAGCACATAGTAAGCACTCAATAAATGACAGCTCTAGCACGTTAGGTCATACTCTGCACTATTGACATTTGGGGCCAGATAAGTCTTTGTGTGCAAGGCAATCTTGTGCACTGCAGGATGTGCAGGAGTATCCCTGGCCTCTAACCACTGGATGCCAGTAGCACTCCCCCCCCCCCCCCATCCTCCCACCCCCTACCATGCTGTGACAACCAAAAATGTCTCCAGACTTTATCAAATGTCCCCTGGGGTCAAAATCATCCCTGGTTGAGAACCCTGACCTAGAGAAGCCCTAATCGGCTTTCGAGGCTCAGCTCAGAGATCACGTCCTCTGTGAAGCTTTCCCTGACCTGCCAAGCAGAATTGCTTTGAACTTGATTCCAATACTGGGGTCAGATCCTGGCATCATCGTTGATGAGCTCTGTGTCCTTGGTCAGGTCACTTCACTTCTCTAAGCCTCCACCTGCTCATCTATAACATGGGGATAATATGGCCTTCCTGGGAAGGGTGCTCTAAGGGTGAGGGATCAAAAGTGCCTGATACTGTGCCTGGCACAGAGTAGTACACAACCATTTTTAGATATCTTTATTGTATCTGATTGTAAAATTAACACAATAAACAGAGTTATATAATGTAAAAGTTAAAGTCCCCCCATAGTCTCACCCTATGGAAAAGCATGATTAGGACTGCTTTGTAATTCTTCAGAATTTTTATTGTGTGAATAGCACGTGAGTGTGTGTATACATGTGTACATGCGTCCCCCCCCTTTTTTTCTTTTCACTGCTAAGCACTGGACCGCAGAGCAAAAGGGAGGGAGGGATCCCCATCTCAGAAGGGTCTGGGGCTTCTCAGCCAATACTCATTGGGCCCTAGCCCACTGCCTGGGACTATACTAAGCACTTTTGTTATATTACCTCATTTAATCTTCAAAACACCCCGTCAAGTGGGTGCTGTAATTTGCTGCTTTTACAGATAAACAAACAGGTTCAGAGGAATTCAGGGCCTCGTTCAGTCACCCAGCTGGGAAATGGCAGAGGCAGGATTAGAAGCCAGTCTGACTGGGCCACTCATGGCTTCCAAGCTGCCTCTGAGGGCCAGGTAGTTGTCCCCCCCCCCCCCCCCCCCCCCCCCCCCGACACTGCCTGTCTTTGTATTTCAAGTAGTCAACACAGGGTCAGGCTAAGGACACTGTGCCAGCTGATGCACCGAGGGCAGGTGGCTGGATGTCATCTTGGTCAGACGTGCATCTGGCTCTCTGGCCTGAGACCTCAGCTCCCATGCCTCCAGAGAAGGGATCGCATTCAGTCCCAGCCACCCCCTCCAGGCCTCATGTGACCACTGGAGCCTTTCCCAAGGCCTCTGTCATGCCAAAGGAGACGGTGCTGGATCAGCCTTGGATGGGAGCCCTGA